TTACTTTGAAAGCTTTCCAAAAGGTTAATGGACAAGAAATTCAAAGAGCCAATCACCAGCGCATTACAGAAGCTAGAGCAACGTGGGGGAAGTGTAAGTAGAACGTTATTCCTTAAGAGTCTTTTTTTTTTTTTTTTTAACTTTCAGGCATATTACTAAATTGACTATATATTTAACATGTACTTCTCATTTCAGCCACAAGTAACTGTATGAAATTGATACTGTTACTTTCTTTTTAGAGCTCAGAGTTTCTGTCTCTTGGTCACACTGTTTTTCAAGCCTTGCAACTCAGACTCAGGTTGAATAAACATAGGGTTTGTATACTTCCACAGTGCTTAATATGGCACTGCATGTGGCATAGCGGTACAGTTTTTTTTTTCTTTATTTTCAGTGGTTTAGTTCTGACCATTGAAAAGTTCAGAAAACCAAAGGATTAACTAATTTAGCTCATTGAGGAGGAATACTTTTTCTCTTTCATTTGCTGTCTTTTCTGCCTCAAACGTCCAAATGATTGCACTATTCTAAGTACGTCCATACCCTCGCAGGTGTACACACACACAGACACATGCACACAGTGCTGGAATAGTTTAATTGATTAGTCTAACTTTTCAAGGTACAGAAATATGCAGGATTTCATAACTATATGGTGTCAGATTACCAGATTAATTGAATTTTCAGCATTTGAAGGAAGCATTCAGATAATCTAGTCTTAGAAATATTTTCATAAAAGTAGTCTTACTTTTGGAAATTTTGTTTAATCAGATCTTGATAGAATTGCATATGACTGTCTTAACCAGGGGTCCCCAAACTTTTTACACAGGGGGCCAGTTCACTGTCCCTCAGACCGTCGGAGGGCCGGACTATGCAAGGTGTGACACCCTTCACAGCCAGCGCTGCTGCCTCCACTATCCCAGACAGCGGTATACAGTGTCACAGGCCCAGCACCGCCTCCAGGGCTGTATACAGGGACGGCGGTGATCAGCCCGTGACACTGTGTATACAGCGTCCTGGACATCTGCAGCAGCAGTGGGCCTCTTCTGTAGGAAGCCCACAGCTGCATGCTTCCCCTATTATAAGACACCTCCTAAAAATAAGACAGCCCCCGTCTTTTGGGGGTAAAATTAATATAAGACAGGGTCTTATAATAGGGGAAACATGGTGTGTAGTAATGTGAGGGGAGACTTTTGGGCAAAGAGAGGTTATGGGGCCATTATGTTGTTGTACATTTGGGGGAGTATAGGGGCCGTTGTACTGTGTAGTAATGGTTATAGTGCTTTGCCTTTCTTCCTACTTCTGATGTTATTTCACACTGCTTCCGGTGATGTGGGGCGCCACAGCCGCAGACCGGATGTGCATCATATGATGCACTTCCGGAGCCGTGAGGCATGCGTCCCGCGTCACCGGAAGTAGTACTGTACGTGAGCGATGGCGTGCTTTGTGGCGCCACCACATACTGTACTCCATCCAGCACATGCCTCCGCATCCTGTGCTCTTCTCACTGACCACCAATGAAAGAGGTGCCCCTTCCTGAAGTGCGACGGGGGCCGGATAAATGGCCTCAGGGGGCCGCATGTGGCCTGTGGGCTGTAGTTTGGGGACCCCTGGTCTTAACATTGCAGAACTTAGCTTCATTCTAGGTACTTGCTAAAGGAATTAATTATAAGAAAATCTGTGTGATCATATACAGTTTTAAAATGACAGACATAAAGCTTTAGCAAGATTACTTAATTTGACCAATTTCAGTGAATTGTTTCATTGATTATGTTCTTTCCATGATGGATGCCTAGAACAAAGTTTACAGGAGGAAGTAACCTCCTAAGCCTACAAGGTAATGAATTTCTTTGTTGTGTTTGGGTCCTAGGCAGAGAATTAGCATTTAGAGACCTTGTTTAGGAGATGTGCAGAACCATCCTCTAGTTAATCCCATGTCTAGGAAATTCTTGTTTGCTCCTCTGTGAATTTGAATGCAAAATATATTTTTCCTTTCTTCTGTGGAGTGGAAGTAAACAGAGGCTAAATAATGATGCCACAGCTTTTAAGTGGGAAACCCTCCCTACGTGGTTTTCCATATCCTGTGAACCGATATGGGAGATGGGACAAGTAGAAAGGGACAGGACCAGCATGTTAGATTTCGTGGTGGGAGTGGAGGGGATGTGGAGAAGGAGATGGCATGCATGTAAATAAGTTTAAAAACAGCACATTAAGATTTGGAAGGGGAACACAGAGGTGTAGTTGACCAATCTAGGATTCCAGAAATACAAAATTCTTTTGTTACTACTCTATCTTACTAGCTTTGAGTGTTGCTAATACAGAATTTTTGAAAAGATTTTGTAGTTAAAAGCGCTATTATTTTCTTCTGACTCCTCATGTTTATTCCTTCTTATGTCCTACATAATATTTTAATAATGATTGATGTAATTAGAATAAAAAATTTTCTATTGCAATTACATGCCAAAGACTTTCTTGGCTTGTTATTGTGCTAGCTTCCGTTACTTTGTAATCCTTCATGAAATTAATGAATACTCTTATTTCTCTTCTAAAAGCTTATATATCTCTTTCTTTAAATGTTAGAAATAAGTCTTTAAAAATGAGTGTTCTCAGTTGTGGTTTCTCATTACTTGCGTATATCAATGATGGAACTATTCAACCTCTGGTACACGAAAATATCTGTTACAGTCACAGTGTTACTTTCTTAGAACTGATATGCCTTAAATTGAAAAATCAGTTCATTCTTAGCCTGATTTGATTTTTTTCTAAATGAAATGCACATTTATTTTGGGAAAGGCACACACAAACACTGCTCTTTGTTGATTATGTGGGAACTTATTACATGGCAGGTACTCTGCTTGAGTACTTTTTAGATATGAAACTTACTCTTCCTAGTCATCAGAGAGATTTTGTTATCTCCCTTTAAAGATCAGGGAACTTAGGCACAGAGAGGTAATTAGTCCAGGTTTGACAAAGAAGGGACTTGTAGATGCTGTATTCAGATACTGGTAGTCTGTCTTCTAACTACTGCTCTAGTTAGATACTAAAAAGGAACAGCCTATATTTTATGTAACTCAGTAAAAACACGTCTTATGTCATCATTTTATTCTCATCCCTTTTTGTTTGTTTTGAGTTTTGGATACTTTCTAGGCATAGTCCTGCAAATACAATACCTATTAGGGGAACTCTACCTGAGAGTAACGATGCTCAATTTTTTTTTTTTTTCTGTTGACAGGGAAGCCTTAGCATCATCAAATCTAAAATTCCAACATACTGTTCCATATGCTGTTGAAGAAGGGAGCCAACAAACATTGCTTTTTCTTCCTGGTGACATATCAAACACTGACCCCAGGTACTCATGGAACCTTTATTCCATTTTATTCATTTGTAAACACGGCCACTATTTATTATTCACTAGGTTAAGATGAATATACACTGAATCAAAGTTATTCATCAACAAAAAAGAAGTTACTAATGGAAGGTTATATAAATTCTATAATAGTATAATTTTGTGGAGTTTATTTTTTGTATTTTTATTATTTCTGTGAAGAACAATTATTAAGTTTGCAAGATAAGATGTATTTTCTAGTGCCTATTTATAGTACTTTTTTGTAATCAAATTTGTAGCTGTGCACTTATTTTTCTAGATATTTTGCCATTTCTTGGGTTTCATATTTAACAAGGCTGTAGAAATTTAAAATAGTGAACAAATGTTTACGAATACACTATTTTAAAATTGTTTTAAAAGAGAGAAGGGGTCTTGCTTTGTTGCCCAGACTGGAGTACGGTGGCATAATCATAGCTCACTGCAAGCCTTGAAATTTTTGTGCTCACATGATCCTTTCATCTCAGACTCCTGATTAGCTGGGACTACAGGCATGTGCCACCCTGTCCAGCTAATTTTAAAATTTGCTTGTAGAGACAGGGTCTCACTCTGTTATCCAGGGTGGTCTCGAAATTCTGAAAGCTATCCACTGCAATTGATTTCCAAAGTGCTGGGATTACAGGAGTGAGCCACCATGCCTGGCCCCATGAATACACTATTAATTAGTGTTTGTAAATATGTATTTCATAATGTACAATGCATGGAAAATTTTCAGAGTATTCTAGTTTAAGGTATTTTTTTCTAACTGTGAATTCTATTACAAGTATGTTGTTTATTACAACTCATTACAACTACTTAAATTTTTGGTGTTAACTGTATTTAAGTAAATGTTATTTTTGCATTTTATAACCAGAAAATACTGATGTTCACATAAATATACTCAGCAATTAAAATTTGAAAACTCATATATGCATTCATTGATTTTGTTGTGCTTATGTTTAGCAAGTGATTTTTAAGGAGCTTTTAAAACATCATTTAAGGAGCTTCTAAAACATCATTTAGACATAGTTCAGAATTTTGATGTAATAGAAGCGATTCCTTCTGCAAGAGAGGAGTAGAGGAGAGGAAGAAAAATGGAAAACAAGAATATGACCTTTTTATCTTATGGGCAAAAGGAGAGGCCATAGGGATTTCTGTAGCTGCACCATATCCAAAGCAAAACAAGACTCGAAAGGGATGGAAAGGAAAGATCGGTCTTGTACATAGGAGCAGCAGTGTTGCATCTCAGAAGCTTTGAAGAATGCCCTTTCCTTGCTCTATTCCCCAAACACCTGGAGTGAATGCTGTGATTCTCATTTCAGATATAATCTCACAACTGTAATTTGAAAGAGTACAAATAATTTCTGAGGATTCTTCATGTAGAAATGCTCCTCCTCCCTCAGAACTTGTCTGTCCTGAGCCCTTTGTCTATCTGGCATGCTTTTTCCGCAGGTCTCTGCTGTCTCGTCACAGCCTCCAGTCGCACTGGATACAGCAGCTGTCTGCTAGCTGGCCTTGTTTTTACCTGTTTTCATTGCATATAGCACCTTGCAGAGATATCTGTGATCTAGAAAATACTGTAAGAAAAAGTATTGTTTAAATCTAATAATTATCAAATTTCTTGAAAAAGATCTATAACATAGTAGAGTTATAAACATTTTATTTTGCTTTTATTTTTTCTTTTTGAAATACAAAATGTGCACATTGAGTTTACACGAACACGCGATGGCAAATTTCAGTGTACAGGTATTGTACTACTCTTAATTTCTACACTGGTGATAGCAGGGCAGCTTTCAACATCCTATCTCTACACCAGAATAGATACCTGATTTATTGTTGCAAAGACAGTGGCAAATTTCCTCCTTCTGTAGCCTCTTGGTCTCTGTGATATTTCTACAAAATAGGGAAGATGTGTGTTTCTTTAGTAATGTGGCAACTTTATAGTTTTGGTTAAGATCATTAAAAATAATATGAATTTTTGGAATTTTATGATGAGCTAAATCATACTGTAATCTGGATTAGTTGTTGAGCACTTATTTATTTTCTACTAAATCTTGATAGTAATCCTCAATGTAGTAGAATCACTGGTGCTTTCAAAGTGAATTTTGCTTACTGCTGGTTCCTAGTAGACAATGGGGTAGTCAAGGTTTCTTTGTCCCTGAATGGCTTGTGATATAAACATGCTGTAAGGAAGTCGGGGAAAGAGGACAGACTTGGCCTTTAATGCTGTTAGGAGTACTTGTTATTAAGCATTACTATATACTGGCAGATAGAGATCCTGACCCTTTGCATATGTCTGTAAACATTCTTGTTTTGTTTGATGCCTTCTTGAACTTCTACTTGATACAATAGAAAACAGCATGTAAGATTGAACAAATCCAAAATTATATAGGCCTTGGCTATAATATATTATGCAAAATTAATGCTTATTAAAATGTTTTATTAGGCATATGCTAATATCTGATAATAAACTAATTGTTAAATGTTGTTTTAAAATGCCAGATAAATTAATTTCTAACAGAAGGTAGGAAGGCCATAGAAACTGGAACTATGTGTTTTTTTAATTGCCATAATCTTGTTTACTTAAAGTGTATATATAAATGGAATTACAGCATTCAAACATAAAAATTAATTTCATTTCTGGAAATTAAATGCAGATGTCAGTATATTAGAAAACCATTCAAAATCCTAAGACTGAATACATACAAATGAGTAGCAAAAAACACTCTGGTATTTTAAAATCACTAATGTGAAAGCCTCAATAATCCCATGGCTAAGGAATCAATAAAACTATATGCCAGATTGTTACTTTTGAATATTCACAGGGTATGAAATGAGTTAGAACATCCCATGAACTCAGTGGCATTATGTAAAGGATGCAGATTTATAACTGAGAAACTCAAATCTTTTGGGGTTTGCTTTATATTAAAACAAAGCTTGTTTGCATAATAGGCTTCAGTGTCAAGCTGAGCAATCTATGCTAAAAGTGGTAGCTCCAACTTTAAGTGTGGTAGAATCGTTCACATTTGTCTGTTGGATTGAGGATCTATTTGACAAGTTAAATCACATTTTCAAAGAGCTGCATGGAGCGCATTATGTTTTCATCCTGTAAGGGAGAAACAGAGTGATTAAATTCAGCCTGTCTTCAAGGGAAAGTACACTATTTTGCCCCTCAGTATTGCCTCTCACCAGCCACCTATGCCAAAAGCTCAAATATTAAGTGTTTGCAAATGTAAATGCCATTTTATCCATTTTCCACTTAGATCACTATGAAGGAGGACCCATTTTATATGTTGTGGAGTCTATTTACCAGGCATTAAACCACTTTATTTAACTCTTACTTGGTATTAATAGAGGATATTTCTCAAATTATAATGCCAAAAAGAAAACTACAGAGGCACAGAGGTAAGTCAAAGCAATGAAAATTTTGGCATTTGATGTAGATCACAGGTCAAATCACAGAGATTTTTATACAGGTACAAGGAAAATTTGTGTGTGTGTGTGTGTGTGTGTGTGTGTGTGTGTGTGTGTGAGAGAGAGAGAGAGATGAGTCAGCAGTTCATGAAGATTGGGTGCTGGAGCATAGAAGGCAGGGTGTTGGATTAAGAGGGAACATGTTTGCAGTAATTATCTCTCTTTCTGTTTGCTAGTTATGGCTAAACCTGTGTGGCCTGAAGGAGCCTTTTAAAATTAATGGTCTCAATTACAGAGAAAGGATTGGGGAGCAGAAACCACTGCCCAGTGGCTGTGTTCAGTTGAGCATATTCTTTGAAATAAGTTAGGGGACAGACTTTGGGCATTATTGGAGCACTTGTCAGTTGCATGTGAATGGCACTTACTGAGCTGTTTATGGTGGCTAAATGGTGGCTAAACCAATAATAGCTTCCACTGCTAGAAACCAAGTAACAACATCACCATCAAGCAGCTTAATGTCACCAAATTAATTCTTAAAGACCACCACATTGAAATCCAAGTTGAGAAACAAGCAGATGTCCAGAAAGGTAAGAACAGCAATTTAAAAATAGAAAATCTTAAGCAAGAACGGATTTGTTTTCATGATGATTTGAATTTTTTGTTTGTTTGTTTTGTGAGGCAGAGTCTCTTCCTGTTGCCCTTCATTCTAGAGTGCAGCGACACAATCATGGCTCAAATGGGCTCAGTGATCCTCCTGCCTCAGTCTCGCAAGTAGCTGAGACTTTGGGCACATGCCACAATGCCCAGCTAATTTAAATTTTTTTGTCGACCTGGGGTCTTGCTATGTTGCCTACACTGGTTTCGAAATCCTGGCCTTAAGTTATCTTACTGCCTCAGCCTCCCAAAGTGCTGGGATTACAGGTGTGAGCTACTGTACCAGGCCTTAAAAATTTTTAATTCAAGTCAAATAAGTCTAAGTAAGCTAACACTGGTTTCTTAGGTAATAGGCTACTACTTGGAGTTCTCTTCAAAGAAAATTTTCCACTGATTATTTTTTGTGACTAAAGACCATTACTGAGTTCAGCCAAAGTTTCTTGTCTACAACACTAAAACAGAGATAAAGCTTGGCCTGTTGTGATGCATACTTGTCTATCTAGGAATTCTAATTCTATGGCAGTATGATAGATAATATATGAGTTATGCTAAGTCTGAGCAAAGAGCAATTCAAATTTCATACGTTTTATCCTCCGTGACGAATACTCTCTAAGGAATTTGGGAATCAAAAACACAGTGCATGTGCAACTTTTGTATCCCCAGGGCTTCATACATAGCCTGACTGAGTAGGCACTCTCAGTGTTGATTATGTCAATTGGTACTTGTTTTCAGAGTGGTAGGCTTATGTTGCATGTTGTAGAAGTAGTAAATTTAGGCATATGATCTTTCTGTTTTGCCCAGTTCATGGTAGCTAGCTGGGAATCCTCAGGTTAGTTGATATGATAGCTGAAGTGATAGTTCTTATACTTCAATTACTTACTTTTTGGCAGCTTTCAATGAACTCATCTATGGTGACGACCCCATCTTTATTTTTGTCCATTTTCTATGCAGGAAGAAAACAAAAAATTGTATTTAGACTTATCCCTTAATACCCTCGCACCTGAACCAAATGAGCTGAAGCTGATAAAAAGAAAGCCTAGTTGCTTATTTCAGATGGACGAACTCTTTCACAGCAGGAACCAGTAGTTTCTTAGAGATAAAAACGTAGGGCCAAACTCTTTTAGGCTGTTCCCTTTTCAATATAGTGTGGTGAAGATTTAGAGTCACTCTGTCCTAGGTAAAATCCTACCTTCTAAATATGACAGAGCTTGTGCAATTTGCTGAAACTTTCACAGTTTTTTTTCTCATCTGTAAAATGGGATTAATGAGGATTTATAGGATTCTTGTAAGAACTCGACGAAAACAAAACTTGTGAAACATGAGAAATGTTTAGTGTTGTATCAAGGATTTAGTGAATGTTCAGTAAGTGTAGTTATCAGCATTGTAAATTCAAAACCAGAGCTATTAAATTAAAAGGATGGTAAATACTGTTTTGTCTCAGTAAAAATTATTTTCCTTTGCTTTCTTTTGAATCATCGAGGTGCTTGGCAAACATCAGGACTTTATCTCCTACTTTCATTTCCTCTTGACTTCTGTTTTCATTCCTACCTGAAAAAATGTTTCCACATGTTGTCTGGGAGCATCTTCTTTGAGGACAGGATATGTACATTTACCCATCATGTCGTATATTGCTTTCATTATGTCAAGCATTTCCTGAAAAGTAAACGGCACTTGCATGAGGCTGCACCTATGTATGAAGAAACCAGTCTAAGAAGCTCTGACGGATGTTTCCTACTCAATTTTAAATTTTTGACTTTTTGTTTGTTGGATTCTTTGTTAGATGACTATTTGTTGTCCCAAAGGAAAAGCCAACAGCAGAAGAATCAGAATGTAAGAATTAATTCTGATCTCTTGGTTTCAAAATGAAGCAAATTTCCATGTATTTAACATAGGGAAAGAATATGTTGGTTTAATGTTTGGATTTCTATAGACTTTAGACTATATTTAATTGAATCATTATATATCTTATGTGTTAATTATCAGTTTCCATCTCTTAAGAATCAAACAAACATAATGCATACCATATATTGAGAAAAAACACCACTTAGAATTAGTGAAATTAATTGGTAAGTCTCAAAGATCAGTAGGATTTTTGTTGTATTTTTTTCTACTATGGCTTTACCTGAAGACATACCTGAAGACTAGTCAAAATATTTTGACCCTGGGAAACACCTTGAAATTTTATTAACTTTTTATCTGAAACAGTCTAATTTTTGCCTTATCATTTTCATTCTTATGAGAATAAAAATATCTAATAACTTAAACATTTAGATTTATTGTTGCACATTTGTTTCACATGAAAGATCTCTTGTTTAGGTTGATAATAGAGATCTAATGTATATTTACTTTTAAGAGTATTCAATTCTATTATAAATGATAAAGTAATTTATAAACAGATGAAACCTTTTAAGATGTTTTAAGTATAGATAAGTAGCAAGTAGTTTGACACAGGCAGAATTCTTGAGATGTGTTAAACAGAGATAGAAAGGAATTGAAGAACAAGAGATACTTAATATTCCTGAGGCACATTTTTATACCAATATTCATGGTATAAAAATATACAAGAAGTACTATTTAGGATATGCTCTATGTATGTGAACACTTAATAGTCATGAGGTCTTAATTTGGCACCGATGACACCTATTCTAGCCCCAGGTGTCTTCTGTTCAAGAAACACAAATGAAACCCATTATTACTTATCAGGCTATACTTGTAGCCAGGCACACTTGAACCTGTGTCTGTACAGTAGCGCAAGTTCATGTCGTTGGCAAGTGGCCCAGGGCATCTTTCGTCTGTGGAGCCGCTTGCTCAAAACTCAATTCTGAGGGAGGCTTTTGAGGCAGAGAGAGGCGGGACGTAGGCATACTGAGCATGCCCAGGATTCAGGAACTGTGATCTTTCAACTCCACTTGCATCCCATCCTGTGTGTTTAACTTATCCCTTTGCCGTTACTTCTTGCTGTGTTTTAAATTAATTTAATAAACTGTGTAATATGAGTATCTTAATTTGGTCTGTGAGCCTTGTTTCCTGGATAATCTGCCTCAAAGTGCATTTGGAGACCCCACCATTGCATCAGGTCATTCCACAATGTATATGATTGCAAAATTGCGTTTCATTATGGTTCATATGCTATGGTGAAAAGAAAGGCTGCAGGCTAAATATTGAAACATGGCTTGGATACATTTTCTTTCTAGCTGATTCCAACCATGGTCTTTATTCCATTCACAGTATTTATTAAGATGCCAGCAGGAAACAAGGGTGTAATCTTTATGTGTTAATATATTTACTTTGGAGCTTCACCATAAAGTATTTCTATTCCAGATTTTTAATTATACATCTTTCTTCCACTACATAAAATATTTTGGATTTCCTGAAGAAAACCATTTTCAAATTAATAATTGCAATTGTTTAATATTTTAAAATTAAGAAATGAAAATGGTCCAAATTATAGCTGTGTTGGTGAGGCATCCCTTACCTCTTTAGTGATGTAGCCATCTTTATTTATGTCATACAGATTAAATGCCCAATTGAGTTTTTCTTGTACTGTCCCCCGAAGCAAAATGGAAAGACCTTTAATGAAATCCTAAAAAGAAATAAAAATGCAATTTTATATGACATTTCTAAAAGAAAAAGCAAAGAAATGATGGAAGCAAGGGCTACAACCCTCTGGATTTTCAACCACTTATTTAGCAAAATGATTGATGTATTACTGGTTGTCTATTTTTCAGAGTTCTTTGTGAGCATAAATCACTCCTTAGTCTTAACATTTTTATCTTCTAATTGGAAACTGAGTTAAATCAATGGTAGTACTGGAAATTGTAACAGTGGATACCTACACAACAAGGAACTTGAGTATAAGTGGTATTGGCTTTTCACTGCAAGTGCACAGGTTTTACTAAAAGAATCTAATAGTACAGTCTTAAAAAAAAAAAAAAAAAAAAAACAAGTGCACACATAACACACTTCAATGAAAAAAATTTGCTAACGAGAAATGTGGCTATCCATAAAAGATAAACCAATTGTGGTCCTCAATTAGAAATCCAGTTATAACTTACATGTGGACAGTGGGTAAGAGCATGGAGCTGGAGATGACATACTGCCTGGATTCACCCTCCAGCTATGCATGGCTTTGTGTCTTCAGGCAACTTAACATCCCTTTGTCTCAATTCTCATATCTGTAAAATGGACCTATTGATAGTATCTACCTCTTCACAATTTTCTGAGGATTAAAAAAGAGGCTGCTTGAAATTGACAAATGGGATCTAACTAAAGAGCTTATGCACAGCAAAACAAACTATCAGAGTGAACAGGCAGCTTACAGAATAGGAGAAAATTTTTGCAATCTATCCATTTGACAAAGGGCTAATATCCAGAATCTACAAAGAACTTAAACAAATTTACAAGAAAAAAAAATCAAAAAGTGGGCAAAGGATATGAACAGACATTTCTCAAAAGAAGACATTTGTTTAGCCAACAAACATGAAAAATGCTTATCACTGATCATCAGAAAAATGCATATCAAAACCACAATGAGATACGATTTCACACCAGTTAGAATGGCAATCATTAAAAAGGAAAAAACATGCTGGAGAGGATGTGGAGAAATAGGAACACTTTTACACTGTTGGTGGGAGTGTAAATTAGTTCAGCCATTGTGGAAGACAGTGGTGATTCCTCAAGAATCTAGAACTAGGAATACCATTTGACCCAGCAATCCCATTACTGCATATATACCCAAAGGATTATAAATCATTCTACTATAAATACACATGGACACATATGTTTATTGTGGCACTGTTTACAATAGCTAAGACTTGGAACCAACCCAAATGTCCACCAGTGATAGACTGGACAAAGAAAATGTGGCACATTTCTTTGCAGGGATGTGGATGAAGCTGGAAACAATCATTCTCAGGAAACTAACACAAGAACAGAAAACCAAATGCTGCATGTTCTCACTCATAAATGGGAGTTGAAGAGTGAGAACACATGGACATGGGGAAGGATAGCATTAGGAGAAATACCTAATGTAGATCACAGGTTGAGGGGTGCAGCAAACCACCATGCATGTGTATACCTGTGTAACAAACCTGCATGTTCTACACATTTATCCCAGAATGTAAAGTATAATAACAAATTCAAACCTCAAAAAAAAAAAAAAAAAAAAAAGGTGCTTATAATTCCTGGCAAGGACACTGGCTATGTAAGTTTTTGTTAGTGAATGGAGCCCTCCCTTTGTATCCTGGCTAAGCTGGTTTGATTGCGTTGCAGACTGGCCAGATTAACTTAATTAAATTCATTTAGATTTGTTGTTTTGTTTTTGTTGTTTGTTTTTTGAGACAGAGTTTCACTCTGTTGCCCAGGCTGGAGTGCAGTGGTGCGATCTCGGCATACTGCAACCTCTGCCTCCCAGGTTCAAGCTATTCTTCTGCCTCAGCCTCCTGGGACTACAGGTGCTTGCAACCACATCCCAGTAATTTTTGTGTATTTAGTAGAGATGGGGTTTCACCATGTTGGCCAGGATGGTCTCAAACTCCTGACCTTGTGATCTGCCTTCCTCGCCCTCCCAGAGTGCTGGGATTACAGGTGTGAGCCACTGCACCTGCTCAAATTTGTTGTTATGTACAGCAGGGTTAACATTACAATGTGCTGTATTCCATTTATAATCCAATTTTAGGTAGGAATGAAAGCAGAGGGAAAATTCAAAAGTCTTCTGGGTGAATTTGCATTATATCTCTCCTTTTCCACATTCCCTCATTCTATAGCTGTATTTCTATTCCAATTTCTTGTTTTGTTTTGTTTTGTTTTGTTTTTTAATAAGTAACATCCATATAGTCCAACATTTAAAAATTATATAAGCTGTCTGGTGAAAAATCTTTATTCCCTTCCTGGACCCAGCCACCTGTCCCTTTTCCCTGTAGACAACTGGCATAAATAGTTCATATTTAATTCTAAGGAATTTTGTGCATATACAAATAAAAGATACATTTGTTTGTTTTACTAACAAATTTCTATACTTTTTTTCCCACTTAACCATAAATCGGAAACATTTCGAGTTTCCATGGTATATGTAAATGTATTGTAGTTTATTTAACCAAGGTGTTCTTTTATATTTTTTCTCATTCTTATTGCTAGATATTTTATCCTTTCTGTCGCTGTTGTAAATGTGACTTTTTTTCTATTATATATTCTAAATTAGTTGTTTGTATGTGTGAAAGCTGTTGATTTCTGTATGACAATTTTGTACCCTGCCAATTTGCTGACAACGTAAGTTGGTTTTCTCCTGGGTTTTTCATGTGTGCAATAATATTAGCTGCAAATGGAGTTAATTTTACCTCTTTTCTAATTTTTAAATGTTTACTTTTTTCTAATTATGTAGCCTAATATCTTTAGAACAGTGTTACATAATGAAAATGATAATATTCTTTTTTTTTCTTGAACTTGAGAATATTTCTATTTTCTTTTAAGCATAATACTTACTTTTATCATGCTAAAGAAGTATACAACCATTCCACTTAAGCAAATTTGTCAAGAATGGCCATTGGCCTCTTTTGGCAAATATGAAAAAGACAAAAATAAAAATAATTTTTAAATTCATATTGCCAGGGGCCCTGAATAATTCAGCCCAATCAATTTTAAGAAAGAAAAACAAACTTGGAGGACTCACACTACCCAATTTCAAAACTTAGTACAAAGTTACAGTAATCAAAACAGTGTGGTACTGGCATAAAGACAGATGTATAGAACAGTGGAGAAGAATTGAGTATAGATAATAAACTCAGCTGTCTGTGGCCAGTTGATTCTTCAATGATTGTGCCAAGACCATTCAATAACTATGGCAAAGATAGTCTCAACACATGGTGCTGTTGTAACTGGATCACCGTACTTAGTCTACTTCCCATTGGCATTCAGGGTAGAATGTCAAGTAAGAGAAAAAGAAGATTCCAGGGAAGGCCACAAGAATTCCAATATTGGCAGGCACAGAGAAGAGAAGCTAGCAAAGCATCTTGAAAAGAAGTTACTAAAGAAGGGAGTCAGGAGAACTGAGAATTTCCCTAGGAAAGGATTGTTCATTTTGCTTCTGAGGATGGAAAAATGTTCATTGGACCAGCAACATGGAGGTCACCTGCAAGTGATAGGGAAAGGTCAGTGCAATAGAAGGGGTGAAGAGTGATTTTTAATGAGGAGCACTTTGAAAACTGAAGGAAAGAATCTAAAAAGAGTAAGAGTCAGAAATGGGCCGATGCTCCTGAGAAGTTGTGGAGGATCCAGAACACAGGTAGATGAGCCAATCTGAGAATGGAGTTGATACAGGAGGACATGGTGTGGATGCCAGTAGCTGCTTTACAGTGGAAAGATGACTGCATTTTTGTCTAATAGCTTTAGCAAGTGTCAGCTGCTTGAGAGTGAAGAACCTGATAGAAGAGGTAAGAATTGGAGGTTTGAGAAGAGAGGAGGAAGCTCTGCTACTAGGCAATAAAGTGATGTGCAAATAGAGAAGGGCAGACTTTCCTCAAATTATTTCCTTGCCATATTTTAGATAATTATTTATCGATGATATATAATGCAGTGTAATGAAAAGGTAATGACAGGCCTTGGAGGTGGTGTGAGTATACATCTTGCACAACCAGCAGGTGGGCATGATGGCTCATGCCTGTAATTCCAGCACTTTGTGTGGAAGAGGGGGAAGGGTTGTTTGAACCCAGGAGTTTGAGAGCAGCCTGGGCAACATGGCCAGATCCAGTTAACAACAAGAGCAACAAATTAACTGGGCATGGTGGTGCACATAATTGTCCTGGCTATTTGGGAGGCTTAGATGAGAATTGCTTTAGCCTAGGAGGTTGAGGCTGCAGTGAACTACGATTGCACCACTGTGCTCCAGCCTGGTCAACAGAGCAAGATTCTGTCTCAGAAAAAAAAAAAAAAAAAAAAAAACCCTGGCTTTTTCAGAAGGTATAAAATATTCGTTGCAGAACATAGAGCCTTATTCAAAGAAGATTGCTGAGCAGTTTTAAAAGGCTAGATGAGGTTGATGGTTATCAATGTAGACCATATATATAATTTTAATTCACAAATTAGTTATATGTCGTTAATTGGAAGGGGAGCTGCCTACAGGGTCTTTGAAAACATGCTTAGAGTATTTGTTCTCATAATATGCAAGAGAATCACCTGGAGAGCTTGCTAACACACAGATTTCTGGGCCCCACCCCAAGAATTATGATTCATTAGGTTGGATTGGGGCCCCAATATTTACATGTCTAACACATTCCAAGGGGAAGCCTATACTGCTTCCAGGGATTGAGAACCACTGGCCTACAGCAGTCATCACTGGCATTGACCTCACCAGCACACAGAACAGCAGAGTAACAATAAGGGAGTTAGAGATAGCACTTTTAAGTCAAGTGTGGACTTGCTTGCCTCCCTAATAGGTCCCAAATTTCCATTTGGTGCTCCATGATGTTCTGTGAGAGCTCACTGCATCTCTGGGTCTAGTGATGGACCCATGACCTGGGCAAAGTCAGGAAGCACATTTTATCCCTTTGGCCAGACAACTGGATCTGTGGTTGGAATTTGACTAAACCTAGTCCAAGTCTAAGAATGACTCCCCAGACTCAGGCTTTTGCTAGGAACGGTAGGACAGAGATATGCTTCTTTCCTTTCTCAACAGGAGAAATGAATCATGAAGCCCAGGAGCTGTGGCCTCTTGCAGCCCTAAAGGGTCCCACGCTTAGGTTGCAGCCAGCACTGTCTCTGGCCTTTTTGTTTCTGTGAGCCAATGAAATTATCATATTTTTTTTTTTTTTTTGTCACTTAGTGTATCATTTTCTAATACTTGTGAACAAAAGTATCCTAATTCACATGCTGAAATGTAATTCACATCTTCTTAAATACTATATATCCTGAAACAATTTACATTAAAAGATAGTTGTGGACTTTAAGCACCTCTCTCTTTTTGTCTTGTGGGATGATATCAGTAAAGAGTTACTCAAAAAAGGAATCACTATCTTATTTTGTACAAGAGAAAAATGAGACACTTAATGTGGCTTATAAGATTTTTGCTCCATGGTTTTCTGAGTGGTAATTGAAGTCTCTCAAGTAGGAAGTGGTAAACTTAACAACTCTCAAAGAGGACTTCCCACAATTACTTTACTTGTAAATGTGAAAGGAGGTTATATCTGTTTCCTAATGTACAAAAAATGATAAAGGAGTGGGAAGGTCTGTACCAAATTCTGGTTTCCATTCTTATTATGAAGGCAGAAGAAGGGAAAAGGCATAGAGATTTGACTTGATAATAACCTGGACTTGTTCAGCAGTGGACTCTGTTCATCTGCCAAACCTTTATGAATGCCTCAGTGCTGGCCACTATGCCAGGGACGTTAGTCCTCCTGACCCCACCTGCCAATCAAAGACTGCTATGGCTTCCTTAGAATGATGCATTTGCATGTAGTTGCCTTACTGGGTAATGAGATGACCAGTGTCATCATTAATGGGCTTTGTTAGAAAAATTCCCCAACTGATAACTTCTATAGTTGACATCTAATAAACACTGAGCACATATTTGCTGCCAGGCACAGAGCCAAGCCCTTTGCTGACATTTTCACCTTTTCGTTCTTATACTATCTTATGAAGTAGCTTTGGATGCTGATGTTTTAGAGGTATGAACACTAAGGTCACGAGGGTTAAGTACTCAGCCCAGGGTCTCAGAGCCACTGGGTGGCAAAATGGAGATTAGATCCCGTCATATCAAATTCAGGGCCCCTCCTATCATATTTATTCTGCCTTTCAGGTTTAAGCAAAGTAAGTGGAAAACTTCCATTACCCTTTATCATAGAATCAGATGGTCTCTTACTGGACCTCTCAGTATGCAATTGCTATTTCAAAATGTGTTCATTCCCTAACCATGTCTGTTTTCTAGAGATTTCCCAGGTAGCTAATCAATTTAGAAAAGTAACTGCAACAGCCTAGTTTTAAATTTGACTTTGATTTAAACTTTATTAATTTAGCCATTAGTCTTCCTTTAAAAGGAAAGGCATTTTACCAACATGCCCATCATATATAACCATTACAACTAATTTCCCAAATTATAATCAACATTCACTGCAATTACTGGTATTTTACATAAATATTATAAAGCAGTGTTATGCATGGTTCCATATCATTAACACCAGACTAAATTTACATGTAAAATTGGATATAATATGCCCTAGGAAATTGGTGGTATATTGCTGCTACATAAGTAATTTCAAGTAATGGAATCACTAATCGTTTTTGCCTTACTCATCCTCTGGAATCCAGCTATAAAAGTTTATATTAGGTGAACTATATTAGGTCAAACCTTTGATTTCTATATTATAGCTAAATTAAGACTGTGCTGGAATTAAATTTGTTCATAAAGTGAAACAAACACAAATATGGCATTATCATGTAATGATCAAAGTTGTTACTATCATGGAGTGACCTAAGCTGCCATTAGCAAAGGAAACATGAAGACTGGTACCCAGGACACTCTTCCCCTGACCATCTCCTTTCCCTCCACTAACTGCCAGTTCTACACCCAGGATAAACACGCCTGCTCCATCTTGACTAAGTCCATTCCTTCACCTTAGTTCATTCCTTCTCCACTCTCAGCTTGTATTTTTATCTTCTCAGTGATATTTCTCACTTAAGTTTTGGGAGATGGCCTTTTGGGATTTCCGGACCCAGAATCTTTTTAACTGTGGTACCCAGTCTGCATGAGCATGGAGTGTGTGTGAGGAGGCTCTCTGCTGCCCCTGTTCATCCTGCCCCTGTGGCGACTGGCTGGATGACATCACAGAAGGCTCCACTCTTCTTTTTCATCTTGATTCCACAAAGCCCTTGCACCCAGATAGCTGCCTATGCCCATATGAACTTTTCTTTTATACATGACAATTTACCAATTCTGTTTTAATTTCTTTTTAATTTGTTTCATTCTTCATCTCCAGTACCTTTACAGCAATTCAGGCTTTCATCAGCTCCTGTCTGGACTCTTGGAATATTCAGCTGCTAATTGCACTCCATGTTGCCAGGAACATAGCTCTGATAAATTAACATCCCTGCCAAAAATTCTAGAGAGACTCCTCACCCGGTACAAGATAGTGTAATCTCCCTAGCATCCTGCCTAAGACATGTCAGGATCTGGCCTCTGTCTCCTTCCCCAGCCTTCCCTCTTGGCTCTCCAATTGTATATTCTATCTTTTTGATGATTTACACGTTTTCCCTTATTTCCCAGGACTGATAAACTCTGTCCAGCCTTTACCCTGCTCTCCGTTGCTTCCCATGCCATCCCAAGCCTTCATTCTCTTAAGGAAACTTAGTCCATCAATTCCACTGGGCCAGCTTCCCTGCTACAGCCCCTTCTGTGCAGGTACCATTTCCTTGCTGGCCCCGTTCATCCTCTGCTTCCATTTATCAGGACTCTAATCAAAATTTCTGTGCATATTTAAGATGCACCCTTCCCCCCTTTCAGAAATAAATGCATCTTCCATATATATATATATATATATATATATATATATATATATATATATGTGTGTGTGTGTGTGTGTGTGTATACCATAAATAAATATATATGCATATATGGAAAAGAGAAACTGGAATTACAAAGCAAAATATGTATAATGCTGCTTCTGAGACTAATCACAACCAAATCAGAATGTAACAAATAAATGAGGTATACTTTTATCATACCTTTTTTTCTAACAAAAATAAAAGCCTTCACAGCCAAGCAGAGTTCATGTCTTGTTTGTCTCTTAATATTTAAATCAATATACTACAATTTGTGATCTGCTGTGTACCATTTAAATCACATGAATTACATATCTATATGAAATATAGATGTATTTATATAAGCTATGTGAATATCTAGGATATATTTTATTTTACTAGATGCTTATACACAGTAGTTCATGAACAAAATTAAATGCTTTTGAGCCCAGTGGGGTGGCACGTGCCTGTAATCCCAGCTGCTCAGGAGGCAGGGAATTGCTTGAACTTGTGGCAGAGGTTGCAGAGCCAAGATTCTACCACTGCACTCCAGCCTTTATGACAGAGCAAGACTCTCTCACTCTCAAATAAACAACAACAACAAAAAACTTTTTCTACAGATCACTTAAAGTTTGTAATTTGAAAAGAGATTTCCTCGTAGAACTGTCAGGCTGGTGAATATAGTATTTTTCTACATTTAATTTCTTGAATTTCTTGCCTGTTTGCTCCACTTACTGAGACTTCCACAAAGGGGCTTTTGACTTTATTATTTTTGTATTTCCACCCCCTACCACAGCTACTGGCCCATAAGGAGGTGTCGGTAACAGTTAAATCATTTGCCTTTTGGGATTTTTCACATGCAGTTGAAGAAATGGACTCTCCTTGTATGAGCCAATTTAAAATACTAGAAAATAAACTAAACATGGCTTGCAATTTGTACATCTTTTGAAAGATAATTCTTAGCAATTCCACGAGAGAAAGGGAATGTCCTTGGGCTTCATTTCCCCTGAGCAAAAATAATCATCACCAAACTCACATTTTTCCCCTAAAAAGACTGAACTCTGAAGTCAAATGATATGAACATAACCCAGGGCTTACCTCAAAACTCACAGCTCCATTGTGGTCCGTATCAAATGCATTGAACAGAAAATGTGCGTATGTTGTAGAGTCTGAAATAGTGAAAAGGGAATATCATTCAGTCAGTGTTTCCATATCCTACATAAGACTAGGATAGCAGTCCAAGCTCTCTTTCATCCAGAAGAATTAACTCTGCTGCCTTTAGTTTGTGCTTTCCTCACAACTGCTTACCCTCTTTCTGTAGAGGACTAGAGTTTGAGAGTCACAGGAATGAGTGACCAACAGAGGCCATTCGTGACAAACATTCTCTATGAGTTTCTGGCTGGCACTGCTGTATTCTTGGGTGATGAGATTAACACTGGGACAGGAAATGGTCCCATAGGTGGGTGTGAAGATTGAGACTTGTCTGGAATTTGCTTAGTGTTTGGCAGAGACCATCTCTAGAAGTAATAAAAATACTGCTAATGAGACAAAGATGAGTTGCTGTTACTAGTGTTTCTATTATTATTAGTACTTTTATCATTGTTACAACTCAGATAAGGATACTGGGACTTAGAGAGGGCCAAAAACATGCCCAAAGTCACAGAGTGAATAAGGAGTAAATCTGGGGCATGAACTTAGGTCTTTCTGACTCTTCCAGCCCACAGTCAGTACGAGGTCAGCCCAGTTGGCTGATGGACTGGGGTCAGTGGTGACTTGAGAAGTTTCTGTGCCTGTGTTGGAAAGGTCTGGGTGGTCCTAAATGTTCCTAGTTGTATGAAGTTTCATGAAGTAGGGAGCCCCTACTCTGGGTCCTGGGTGGGATTCAAGGATCTGGGTAATGATGGACGGTATGTCTTCAGAAGTCTAGCTTGTCTTCTTAGTTTGCTTCCATCGGGTATTCTTCCCCTCCCATTTTTCCTTCCTTCCTCTCTTCTTTCTCCTTTATCTCCTTAATCTCTGGGCTTTCTGCCATTTCATTTAAAAGTCTGTATTTTTTCCTTATTGTTTTTTGTTCTGGGTGTCTGGCTTTCATTCCTAAGGGCTTCTGTGCTTGACCCTTGATCAAATTCACATGATTATTTTCAATGTTTCATCTCCTGGGCTTTAGCCTTTTTTCTTAACCTTTTTTGTCTTAAAAAAAAAAATGGTAACCTTTTAGCTCATTGGCTCTAGCATCTTATCTTCTGTTTTAAATCTCATCTATTTCTATTTTATAACTTTTAACCTTTATTGGGTTTTAACTTATCATTGATTCACTTTTTACTTTATGAATTGCTTTTTATAGGCTGTCATGAAGCTAAGTCAGAGTAGCTGGAGTACAGAATTGCCTTTCCCAGATAAGAGAGGTCAGAGGTCATCTAAATTTCAATCCTGGCTCTCAGGGTCCACAGCCTCCTTATGCGTTATTTTTCCTCAGTGCCTCAGTGTAGTAATGAACACTACTGAAGGCTGCACATTTCATGAGGCAGACTGTGCACTCAGTTTCTTAAAATGACAGCAACATCTTCTCTTATCTCTCCGTTTTTTAATATGCTATGAAGAATTACTCATCTTTTAAACACAGGAGTTACCAACAGTTTTCAATGAACTAATCAAACACCAAAATTGGGTCTCAATAGTATGTAAAACTGTTGCATCTAGAGCGAATGTCCATCCAGTATTAACAGGTTGCAGGAAGAAATCCTTTTGCATATGGAGTCAGGGGTTTAATTACCATAAACCTAGTTCTGTTTTTTGGGAAGCTCCATTATAGAGTTATCAAGAATTGGCAGCCTGTTTCAACTTGCAAAGTTGTTTTGCTCTCAACAGTACTTTTTCACACACTTCTTGAACTATAAAGTACACTCTGGAGATGTGAATTGATAGATGGTGTGTTAAACTTACTTTTGGAGGAGGAAAAAAAAAGATTTTGCATATTTTATAATGAGCTTCATTAAGCAGGTCTCTAGTTACCCTGTTTTTACAATCAGAGTAAATGCATTTATCTTAGCAAACAGTACTCACCGTGAATAATGGCTCAAAACAAATGATGTTTGCTATTTTTTTTAATTAAAAAAAGATAACGTGGATATATGATAATTACCATTCTTCTCAAATGGAGTTTTTCTAGCTTAAAGCTTGACACGTGGGAATTAAGCTCTCAAGGTTTACACTAATGTGATACAGAGGACACCCTGTTCTTCTAAATGTACCTTGGCAATTCTTTTAGAAGTTAAAGCAGCTTCCTAGTCTAGATAATCCATGCAGAGAGGTGTTTTTTTTTTTTTTTTTTTTTTTTTTTTTTTTTTTTTTTTTTTTTTTGTCGTTGTTTGTTTGTTTGTTTGTTTTGAGACAGTCTTACTTCCTCACCAGGCGCCAGCATGCTGGAGTGCAGTGGTGTGACCTCAGCTCACTGCAACATCCACCTTCTGGGTTCAAGCAATTCTCCTGCCTCAGCCTCCCGAGTAGATGGGACTACAGGCGTGTGCCACGTCGCCCAGCTAATTTTCTTGTATATTTAGTAGAGACGGGGTTTCACCATGTTGGCCAGGATGGTTTCGATCTCTTGACCTCGTGATCCGCCCGCCTCGGCCTCCCAAAGCAGAGAGGTTTTTAGTAATAGCATAGTAGAATCAGACTGCCTGAATTTGAATCTCAGCTTTACCCTTCACCAAAGATTAAGTGCACGACCTCAGGCAAGTGGTTTTACCTTTGTGTGGCTCAGTTTCCTCATCTACAAAATAATAACAATATCAGTATTTACTTCACAGAGATCTTAGAAAGTTTAAATGAGACACTATTTGCAAAGTGTTTAGAAATAATCCTAGGCACTTATTAAAATTTCAATAAATATTAGCTATTATTAACTCCTAGACAAGCCACTTTTATTTCAATTACCTTAAACACATATGATCAAATATTTTACAAATATAACATCTTTCACCTTAAATATAACTTTCTTGTTTTTGTAGGATTTCTGTTGTGTGTTTAGGTGACTGGAGTTCTAATTTTATGCAATTTTCTGCTCAATAAAAGACAAGAGAATTATGTCCTAAAAACAATGGGCCTTCTGATGGAGTTGAGATTTCCTCCGGCAGGCATTGAAGACAGTGGAAAGTTTTAAAGAAGAGGAATGAAGCTACTTGCTTTGATTGGGTGAGAGGAAGAAGCAAAGGCATAGGAATATCCAGCTAGGCAGAAAACTGGATAAAATGATGAAAAGATAAACTGTCCCCAAAAGCATCTATGATTCTGATTTTACTTGACTGTGTTCTTAAGCACTCAGTAAATATTTGTTAGAAGAGTGAATAACTGACTACCTGGAATCTAGATTTCAGTATAGTCCAGGGCTTGAAAGATGTAGCAGTGATCTCCCTTCTCTCTCTATGACCTGGTGGTCTTCATGATTACATTTCTTTACATAACAGATACTGAGTTTGCTAAGCTGAGATCACCTAGGTTTCTTATAATTTTACTTGTAAAGCTGAAAAATAAATGTTGAGGTTTTATAGTCGAGCAACAAAATTTACAGAGTCTTAGGATGGGAAGACATTTTGGATATTATTTAGCATTGTATTTACATTGAACAAAGGTAAAATAAGTACTTTTACTCACATACTAAGGTCGCCTAGTTAGTTCATGATACAGTTGGTAATGAAATCAAGATCCTATACAATCTCTTAGAAATAAAAGATACTAGAGTAGGAAAAAAACCCGAAGATTCCTTTGGTGCGACTCCTACATTTTACAGAGGAACAAACTGAGGCTCAGAAAAGTAAACCACTCGGGGTTACATACCTTGGTGGTGGCAGTCTGTCCACAAACTCTGAACTTAGTCCAAAGTTCTTAACCCAATTATATCCAGAACACAATGAATATACCAACTAACCCTCGAGTTCATTCTTCATAGTACTTGAACAAATATACTTGATTATCATGCCCCAGGTTTGCAGAATGAAATCAATCTGGTTTATTTCTTTTTCCTATCCCAAACCCCTGCTTTCATTTAATTCAAACACAAAGAATAGAATTAGCTTCATGTATTTGAATATACAATTCATGACATCATTACTGTGGTAAGGCAAGTTCATGTGCATGAATGCTAGCTTCTGTCAATAAGTCTGCTCTGAATCACCCTGAAAATTGTTAGAAATATTGTCCAAGGACAAGAAGGATACTCAGTGGGTGATGTCTACAGAACTCATCTGACTCAAGTGCCTTCCACAGCAGCTGCTTAATAAATGTTTACTGACAGATTATTCTGACTTGAGCTCATTCATTCATTCATTCATTCAACAGCTATTTATGAGATGCCTAGTGTAGTCAACATAAGTGCATTCCTACAATATGAACAGGAATCGCCCAGGAAACGATATGGGCTTTAAAAATGTTTCGTGAGTTAAAACTTACACATGAAAGCTTCTATTGTATGTGGAGTTTAAAAGGTTTTTTTCTAACCATATAAGCAACAGTACCAACAGGCAGTTTCCTCTCTGCTTGCCTTATAGTAGGCATACTTTATGCCCTGCAAATAAGAGTCCTTTGTTCAATCCAGTTTTTCTGACATCCAGCTCCCCAAACAAGTCGTGCTTGATAAACTGCTTCACAAAGCAATAGAGAAAGCTAACAGCCTAACACAATACAAATTGCACAGAGCTCTGTAGATAAGATGAAGCACTTTCCTGGAGGAAATGGTGGGATGTTGTGATTTATGGACCCATCAGTGTGACTGTTCATAATGAGAAAACCTGTTGCATTCAGACCGTCATCCTGAATAAATGATGACTCCATAGAAGTGTAAGGATGGCCATACATGAATTTGCTTGCCATCAGAGAGCACATTCTTCCTTAGGACATTTTTCCGTTTCTGGCCTCATATATGAAACAAGTTAAATGTATTATGTTATTTTTTAAAATGCAAAACAATTCTTTAAAATATTTCATTTCCTTCAGCAATGCCTCATGCGTTCAGATTTATGCATTCAATTAACATGAATAATCACATAATTTTAAAGAGTGTAACTAATTTTTTCTTAAATCTCTAATCCCTTTGGATTTTGTAGTAAGAATCCTTTGCAAAATAGATGTTCTCTATTTAAGAAGATGTTGTCTAACATGGAAATGTTATTTTTCAAATAAAGGTAAAATTTTAATGTGGAGGTATATCCAAGTTTTAATATGTAATAACTTTATTTGAAATGATCAAATAATAACAAAGATTTTCATCTGCATCTGTGCTTTGATATTAATGCCTATTAATATGTTGGTAGGCACTCAGATATTAAATATAATTTTTCTTTAAAAATCCATGGGTTTTAAGCAATGAAGAAAAATATGAGTTAGTTAATTAATACCTCAAATTAATCTTTCATTAATGCAGACAGTGAACCCATTATCATCCTGGCATCAGACACTATACCAATACCTGTCTGTGGTCTGTCAGAAGGGCCTTCCTCTCTGCACTGTGGCAATGAGATGGGATGGGAGAGTTGTCATCCAGTGTATATCCAGATTTACTGAATAACAGGTCTTCCTGTGTTTTCTTAGAATTCTAATTTAATTCTTTTGAATGCCATCAAAATCAAAAATCTGTTTTGACAAGTTGGGCACAAAATTGTTTTAAATCACTAAACTACCTAAAACCAAATGGATTAAAACCCAAAACGAAACCTGATTTTTATACGAAACAACTAATACTTAAGTGCTTTATACTTTTCAAAGAGTCTTTTACAGATATTATTTCATTGTACAGTGATAGCCACCATGCTTTGACACCAGGTGGGTGTTCATTCATGCAAAAAATATCTATCAAGTGCTATTACTTGTCAGCCACTGTCCCATGACCTGTGGATACAGCAGTAAACAAAGTGGAGAAATCCTCTGTTCTCTGCAGCTGACGTTTGAGTACAGAGATAGACAATAAACAACCATAATACCAGTGAAAGATATATTATTGGATTGTCCTGAGTGCTGAAGACAGATATAAAGCAGGGGAAGCGGATGGGGAATGTTGAAGGCCTTGTAATTTAAGTAGAATGGTCAGGGCAAGCTTCACTGAGAAGGTGGCATTGGAGTAAATGCAAAGGTGACGATATATGGAGATGAATATTTGGGAGAAGAGAATTTCAGGCAGAGGGAACAGCAAGTTCCAAGGCACAGGAGCAGCATCATGGCTGGTGTGCTGGCAAGGGTGCCATTGTGGCTGGGTGGAGTCAGTCGGGTGGGAGAATGGTGGAGAACAAGGCAGACGGGACCAGAGACAGTGGCCACCACTTGTAGGCCACTCCATAGGTTGTGGCTTATGCCTATGGAATGGTATGGTTTTGAGCAGAGCAGTAATATGATTTGCTTACATTTTAATGGGATCGATCACTCTGACTCATTTTAAGAGTAGACTGTGGTTGGGAGAGGGGTCATCAGAATCAGAGAAGCCAGTTTGGGGACTACTGTGTTTATTTTGGCAGGAGATGACGGTGGTTCCTTTAAGTGGAAAGTAGTTTAAAAAAAAAAAAAAGAAAAAGAAAAAAAAAGCGTTGGCAAGGTCAATGGCAAAGTCAACTGTGGCCATAATCACAGAGAGAAACAATTGTCCCCTACATTGAGTAGCCGCCAAAGTAGAAAGGAAGTACTAGATGGTCCCCACCTGACTTGAGGTAAAACCTTCGTGAACTCCAGATTCACGGACTCCACCATCCCATCCCATCACTATCTTTTTCCTCCAAATCTGAATCTTATTTCTCTCTTTCCTTCATGACCTAAGCTATTAATATCTCCTTCTTTACCAGCTCATTCTCTGTACATAAACAATGTCCAATCTTTTCTATATTAAAAAATAAAGTATTCTACTGCTATCTACCCAGCACTATGATCAGTTTCCTCCTCATCGCTTCACTCTTCCAGCAGAGCTTCTTCTAAGTGCTGTCTCTATTGGTTGTCACTGTTTCCTTCTCATCCTCCTTTTCACCCTCTCCAATTTGACTTCTGCTTGTGTGTTCCACTCCCTGGTACTTCATCTAGGGCACTTGGGCTGTCCCAATCATGTCCAACAATGACTCCCGTGTTGCCACATCCCAGGAGACCTTCTCATCCTTACCTTACTGGACTTGATTGTTTCATTTCTGAACTATCATTCTCTCTTGTGTTTATTTCCATAAACTGTTCATTCTCCATCCCCTTTGTGGATGCCTTTTCCTTATGGTCCTTGACATGTGTTCTGGAGTTTCATGCTGGCCTCACGGAGCTCACCACTTTTTGTACTTCCTCCCAGTAACCTCATTACATCAGGAATTTAACCACTACTTCTTGATTAATAATTCTCATATCTTTGTCTCTTTCTCTGACTTGTCCTCTGAGCCTCAGATTTTTACCAACTTCTCATTATGTCTAAATCCCCACAGGTACCTCACATGTAGCTTTTCCAAAACAGATCATTATTTCCTACTCTTCCTGTAATGAGCCACCTGGTGTCTATGGTGGAATCCTGGAAGGTATCACAAACTCCTCTCCACCTCTTTATGCCACAAAAAGTAAGTTCATCACTAAACTCTGCCATTCTTGCCATCTAAATATATCTGTAATCTTTCCCCACTTCTCCATTTCACCTAAGCTTGTCCTTGGTTAAAGACATGATTGTTTTTCCTCCTGTAGCAATAGTCTAATTAGTCTCCCTGCCTGCAGTATTGCTGACCTCAGGTTAATCTTCCACAGACCTATCAGTGAAATGTATCCCGAACACAAATCTGACTGTAACAGATCCCACTTATCTGTGACTTTGCATCACATCAAGGATAAAGTCCCATTTCTTCACATGGCATCCTTGACTCTCTAGGACATTTCACCCTCCATTGTACACTATGTATACCCTAGCCATACCCAAATCCTGGCAGTTGCCTGCAAATGCCCACCTTCAGGTCTATGCTCTGATCCTTTGCTTACACCCCATTTGCCTAAAATGTCATGTCCCTACTGCCTTTTAAAGCTGGAAGACATCATACTGAGAAGTGAACTTCTCCTGAGAGGTATAATGGGAGAGTGAAAGACTATATACTTTGGAAATAGATCAAACTCTCTGCACCTTAGTTTCCATGTGTATATCTATTAAAAAAAAAGAGGATTATAGGTAGGGTTGTTAGATGGTGAGTCATACCAGGGTACATGTTAGACGGGCACATATTAGATGCTTTCTGAATGGCAACAACTTCAGCCAAGGTTCAGCTCATCTGTAGAGTCTCTGTATTTCCTCTCTATCCTGAAGCTAATTTAATCATGTCAGCACTGTGCCCTCAGAATATGACTTTTTTAACTTCCATAATCACAGTTATACTTGAGGTTGACATTGCCCATCTGCTACACTAGGCTATATCATTCTTTTGGGCAGATAACACATCCTATTCCTCCCACATGACCAGCACCTCACACATGGCTGGGCACATTATAGGCTGTGGGACAGATATGAGTTGGGCATCTGTTAGATGATTGAAAGAAAAACTGTAAGGTCCAATGGCAAGGATATCTTTTTACTCATCACTAACATGCATGTATTATCATTATGCTATCCTTGGATTTTCTTTCCAATTAAAATAATATCTAGGATGGTTTTAATGTTCTCAAATGAGGGAGCACAGTAAAGAGTTACGGGAAGAAAGAGTGAACAGCAGAAAATATAAGAGGTGAGGCTGCAGAAAATCTAGGTTATAACCCAGATCTGCCACTGAGTCAATATGTGGCCCTGAGCAAACCATTTATCTTCTCCAAGCCCCAACTTTCGTATCTGTACGTTGAGGATAATTATCTTTGTCCTGATTTTGAGAGTTGGGAGAATCAAATGAGACCTATAATGCATGTGAATGAGCTTTGTGGCATTTTGAGCACCCTTGTAATAGAAAGCACTGTGCATTTGAGGGCCACAGTGCTAGGCACACAGTCATACTTGTATTAAACCAAAGAGTAGCCTTTTGGATATTTGATAATTTCTAAGTCGCTGGCTTTTATGATACATAAAAATTTTTATGTACTTGTGTGCTGTGCATTAATTCTTTTACATAACGATTAAAATGTAGCATTATGCTATGAAAAATTAATCTAAACTCAACACTGCAAGCATAATGGTAACTCTGATAGTATGTTAACAAGTCCACATTTGTACTCACCTCCCTGTGGAAAGAACTGCGAGTAAATCTCTTTGAAGGTTTCTTCATTAACAACACCACTGGGACATTCCTAGGGAAAGTGGCAGAGAAGCAATATGAGCAAAGTGTTCATAAAACCGATTTTTTTTTTTTTTGGCATTGAAACAGAACTGTCTACCATGTAAAGCTGCGCCAAGAAAGTTAAACCATTCATTCATTATTACAACAGGAATAAAATGCACACTATTAACTTATCTTTGTTCCAGTTCTCACAGAAAAAAATGCAGATGTAAGTATCTTGCATTTTCAGTAGGTATGATGTACTCAGGAACACAGTGCTGCTTTTAAGAACATGCATGTTTATCTTCCACATATTTTTATTATAAATAAAGTAAAAGGAAATTGCATTATAGTATGATCTTTGCTGGATCTTGGTTCTGTCCTTTCAAAGTTTTCTGAACCCACATAATCTTCAGTTCAATGGCAAAATGACTCCATTATCATCTCAGGTGGCTCAAGAAGCTTCAAGCAGGAATAGATACTAATGCGTGTTAATAGGATGTCCAGGCATGGTTTTGTAACAAGTGACCTTGGGTGAGATAGAACCCCATGATTTTTTTTGAACTTCTGGAGAAGAGAATCTGCAAAGAAACAGCCTGGCCTGGGCTTAATAGATCCCCACCTTTGTCCCTGGATTAACTTATCGAAGAACGATGGACATTCATCTTGGGAACTATACTGATGTTGGACTACTAACCTGGAGGGGCCATAGGGCAAGGCTAGCCCTCTGAGGGTGGTTTTGACATTTTTGCTTAAAGAAAAAAAAAGAAAGAAACTTTAAAGTGTCAGAAGGGGGCTGCTTTGGTACAGAACATAAGGTTTGAGCAAGCAAATTGTACCACAGTCTCTGGAAATTCCTCCATTTTTTAGAGTTATAAGAAACAGTCTGGTTAAGCATGTGCGGTATAGAGACCACCTGAGTGGAGACTAACAATCACACAATGATCCAGAATTGAATCACATGTGAGATATTAACTGTATGGTGAACCTTTGATTTACATGGGGCATTGGTTCCAGGACCACCACGGATACCAAAATCCATGCACGCTCAAGTCCCACGCTTGGTACTGCAGAGCCTGCAGATAAGAGGATTTGGTCTTTCCTGGCCTGTATCTTTGATCTGCATTTGGTTGTGGATGCTGAAGCTGTTAATTCAGAGAGGCGACTGTATTTATTGTCAAAAATCCACATGTAAGTGGACTCACACAGTTCCAACTAGTGTTCAAGAGTCAACTGTACATTGTAAGTGAACAAGTGATAAGTTCTGTTTAGTCTCTTAGTAGATTCTCATGAGAAGTCCCATGTGATCGGAGCTCCCATGACTCTGGCTGTCACAGCACTCCCATGCTTCCTAACGTCCACTCAGGACTAATTTCCCTGGGGAAGGATGAGTGGTGTGCTAACTCCCCATCAAGCCTGACTTTAGACATGAATATTCTGTGTGCTTTAAATTAAATACTGTTCCCACCATCTTTACCAATCATCTATGGTGGTATTTAAAACTTCACTTAACTCTTTAAATCATTGTTCCCTCACTAATAAACTGACTTTCTTAATTTGATCTTTCTTTATTCCAACAAGTCAGTTACTCAACTGTAATGGCATTCACCTGCATAATTTTCTATTTTCTCTGTTGCTTTGAAAGGTAGGATCTTTGATATATAAACAATGTTAACTACCAGTTTCCATGTGAATTTGTGTTTACAGAGCTTCTCAATATATTTTTATCCCATTTGTTCATGTTAATGAGCTTAGGTAGGCAAAATAGCTCCATTCACAGAGGCAGAACTGGAGGTGCTGAGTGGCAAAGCACTTTGTTACACGCTAAGCCAGTGGGGAAGCTGGAATGTGGGCTTGGGACTCTCCAGGTCATAACAAGGTTTTGTATTAGATAACCCCTGTGGAAATAACGATGACCTCAAGGACCTAAGAGAATTAGAGCAAAGAAGAAAACAACCAAAAACAAATGAGCAAGCAAGCAAGCAACTGAACTGTGATAGTTGATTTTATATGTTAACTTGGCTGGGCCATAATGTTCAAGTGTTTAGTCAAGCATTATTCTGGATTATTTCTGTAAGGGGTGTCGTTGAGGTTTATTACATTGATGCAAAAGTATTGCGGTTTTTGCTATTACTTTCAATACATTTAAATTGGTGGACTTTAAGTAAAGCAGATTGCCCTCCATAATGTGAGGAGGCCTCACTAAAACAGTTAACAGCCTGAAGAGAACAAAAATGGACCTTCCCAGAGAAAGAGGGCATTCTTCAGACGTCATCTGTAATATTGGCTTCCTTTATTCACCAGTAGCCTGCCTCTGGACTTGAACTGTAACTGTTTTCTGAGGCTCCAGCTTGCCAGATCCCTCCATTAAATATCAAGCTGGCTGAGCCTCCATAAAGTGCCAGCCAATATCTTAATAAATCTCTTTATATTCACACATCCTATTAATTCTGTTTCTGTGAAGGACCCTAATACATAAATGAATTAATAATCAACAGCTACAACTCTTGAAAAGGAAAGAAGGTAGTATACAGCCAGTCTATAAAACATTTTGACTATCTAGCTGGCACCAGTAGACCAATTTTAAGATGAAACACTTTGCAGTTGGACCCTCTCACACTTGGAAATTGTCATTTATTGGCTATTTAACATTAAGCCATATGCTTGGGATAGTAAGGGGAGAGTAAATGTGTGGCTCTCTGCCATCAGGTGGTAAGCTTGTGCAGAGTTAGGGCTGGAAAGATGCCTGGGAGTTAAAGCTGGTGCTGGTAGAGGAAGAGGATAGCAAGCAAGGGGACCTCTGCACGCAACAAACTTGTTAGCTGCCTTCAGTCTCTAGATACCTTAGATAAATATAATGTGTAATGAATTTATAAATTGACTATCTGATATGTGTGTGTTTTATGTTTGATCACATATCTGTGTCAGAGAAAATCTTTTCTCTGCCAAATGAAAACTGCTGGTCAAGTTTCAGGGTGGAAAGTCTCACCAGATACATTTGTCTCTATCCACCTCATATTATTACATTAGTTTGCATCTCTACAAACACATACTATATGCCTATTATTCTCGGAGTCTTCTAGGAACTGGGACTGCTACAATAAACAAGTCAAAGGTCTTACCCTCATGGAACCTCTATCCAACTAGAAGAATAAAGACTGTCTTTGTTCAGGCTGCTTTAACAAAATGCCATAGACTAGACAGCTTATAAACAATAGACATTTATTTCTCATAGTACTGGAGGCTAGGAAGTCTAAGACCACAGGGTCAGCAGATTCAGTGCTTGATGATTGCACATTCTGGGTTCATATATGGCACCTGCTAGCTATGCCTCCAGATGGTGGAAGGGGTGAGCTAACTCTGTGGGGTCTTTTATAAAAGGACCCTCATCTCATTCATAAGCCTCTGCCACATGATCTAATCATCTCCCAAAGGCCCCAGCTCCTAATATCATTACACCAGGGATTAGGATTTCAACATATAGGTTCTGAAAGGACACATATACAGACCACAGCAAAGACCAAAAACTAGACAAAAGATTGATCAAAAAAATAAATTCAGAGAAGGATGATCTTTTATTTACTCTAAGAGATTTTTTTTATTGATACTAGTGCATTTTTTTAAAATCTACAGGTAAGAAAAGGATGCTAGTGATTTACAAGATGGTGTGCATTCTCTTTTTCTTCACCTCTTTTGTGGAGTGATCTCTCCATAAAAGTGGTCTCTCTACCTTCTGTTAAGAATGAATTTGGCCAGGCTGCATGTGCAGCGTAGTGTTAACCATAAACAATGTGCTGTACTAGTTAACTCTTGCGTTTGCAACAATTAGGCCTTCAAATATCCCTTATTCAAAATCTTGGGAACAGAAGTGTTTTGGATTTCAGATTTTTTGGGATTTGGAATATTGACATTACACTCACCAGTTGTATTAGTTCATTTTCACACTGCTATAAGGAACTGCCCAAGACTGGGAAATTTACAAAGGAAAGAGGTTTAATTGACTCACAGTTCAGCATGCGTGGGGAGGCCTCAGGAGACTTACAATCATGGTGGAAGTCAAAGGAGAAGCAAGGCACCTTACTCACAAGGTGGCAGGAAGAAGTGCCGAGTGAAAGGGAGGAGCCCCTTATAAAACTATCAGATCTCGTGAGAACTCACTATCACAAGAACAGCATGGGGAAAACTGCCTCCATGATTCAATTACTCCCACATGGTCTCTCCCTTGACATGTGGGGATTATGGGGATTACAATTCAAGATGAGATTTGGGTGGGGACACAAAGCCTAACCATATCACCAGTTGAATATACCTAATCTGAAAATCTGAAATGCTTCAATGAGCATTTACTTTGAATGTCATTTTGTCATTCAAAAAGTTTTGGACTTTAGAGTATTTTGCTTTGGGGGATTAGGAAGATTCAGTCTGTATAACAGATTTAAGAAGCATGTAGTCTATTTCTTATTCACCTAACAGTCTTGGGTGAATGTACAGATCAGTTGATGGTTCTTCTCCTTGGAGTCGGTAAAGGACAGAAGCTAATAAATATTTGGCAACCTTTAACACATGGCTCCTACAGTCTCTGTGATTGTCTTATCCAGAAGGAGGAAAAGAACATTGAAGAGAGTGCATGGAAGCTTTTTATGGGCCAGTTCTTAAAGTGGTATAAAGAATTTCTATTCTCACTTTTTTTGTTGTTAGAGATCATCTAATGTGTCTACCCCAAACAAAATGAGAAGTCTGGTATGGCCAGGAAGAAGGCAAGAATGCGGATTTGGTAAAGGGTTAGGAATATCTATCCCTGCAGCATGTTTGAACAATAGTCCAAGTGTCTGTACTCTGAAATAGTTCTCCCATTGACAATTTGTTTATTGATTTTTATTTTTTAAATTTTTGTAAAGATGAAATCTCACTATGTTGCCCAGGATGGGTTTAAACTCCCTGCCATAAGCAATCCTGCCTTGGCCTAACAAAGTGCTGGGATTACAGATGTGAGCTCAGCCTCCCACCGATGCTGTAGTATGATGATTATAA